CTGCTAACGTAGGCTCTGGGAGGCAGCCCATGATGGCTCAAGTGCTTGGGTCCATGCCACCCACTGGGAAACCTGGACTGATTTCTAGGCTCTGGCTTTGCCTGGCCCAGTCCTGACTTGTTGTGGGCATTTGAGGAATGAACCAGTGGATGGGACGTATCTCTCCATCTCTCTCTCTCTCTCTCTCTCTGCCTTTCAAATAAGAAAGAAAGAAAGAAAGAAAGAAAGAAAGAAAGAAAGAAAGAAAGAAAGAAAGAAAGAAAGAAAGAAAGAAAAGAAAGAAATTAACTTTTTAAAGAAAGCCTTTATTTAATAAATATAAATTTCATAAGTACAACTTTTGGAATATAGCAGTCCTTCCCCTCATACCCACTCTCACCCCCAAACCATCCCACCTCCTACTCCCTCTCCCATCCCATTCTTCATTAAGATTCATATTTAATTATCATTATATACAGAAGGTCAACTTTATGCTAAGTAAAGATTTCAACAGTTTGCACCCACACAGACACACAAAGTATAAAGTACTGTTTGGAGATTAGTTTTACTGTTAATTCACATAGTACAACACATTAAGGACAGAGGTCCTACATGGGGAGTAGGTGCACAGTGACTCCTGTTGTTGATTTAACAATTGACACTCTTATCTATGATGTCAGTGATCACCCGAGGCTCTTGTCATGAGCTGCCAAGGCTATGGGAGCCTTTTGAGTCCACAAACTCCATCAGTATTTAGACATGGCCATAAGCAAAGTGGAAGTTCTCTCCTCCCTTCAGAGAAAGGTACCTCCTTCTTTGATGGCTCCTTCTTTCCACCAGAATCTCACTCACAGAGATCCTTCGTGTAGATTTTTTTTTTTTTTTTTTTTTTTTTTTGCCACAGTGTCTTGACTTTTCATGCCTGAAATGCTCTAATGGGCTTTTCAGCCAGCTCTGAATGCCTGAAGGGCTGATTCTGAGGCCAGAGTGCTGTTTAGGGCATTTGTCATTCTATGAGTCTGCTGTGTATCCTGCTTCCCATGTTGGGTCGTTCTCTCCTAACTCTTTATTTAACACAGAATTATTCTTAGGTGTTTAAAGCCAATTGAAAATTGATCCTTGTAAAATATAAGAGTGGGAATAAGAGAGGGAAGAGATATACAGTTTGTAACAGTCCCCACGGACTTACACCTAAGGGTACAGCTAAAAATTTGCCATGGGACTCCAAATCCCATTAAGTTGGCAGGAACCAATGCCATCTTACATGTTGAAGTGATCATATTAAGTGTGTAACTGAACATATAGATAGGATTCAGTGTCAAAGGGCTCACATAAATAAGATCAAGTGTCTGCTAATAACAATAGAAATTAACATCTTACATGGGCGTGGCTGAGTGCGTGACTCCACAGGGGACAGCTCTGGTGACGTGCGCAGGCCACCCCCCTTTCCGTGGATGCCCTACAGCCCACATGGCCGCACGTGTCCAAGGGGACCCCGGGCCTCCTCCCAGGTCAGCGAGGAGCCGCTGTAGCTCTGCTTTATGCTTCTGCTTTGACACACAGCACGCGTTGGGCATGATATCAGGCTAACGCGTGGGTAACTGCTGTGTCCATGGTTCAATATCCTCAGCTGCACACACTTCACCCTAACACGCTCTGCTGGATCCTCCCGGAGGCCTCAGCTTATTTCAGTTCCTCGAGCCACCGCAGGAGCCCCTGCTTCCAGCTCTCATCCAGGCTCCTCCCTCCCCTCCCTCTGGCCCTCGGGGGCCTCAGCACCAGCTCTCACTGAAGCCGTGCTTGCCCTGGGAAGTGTCACTGACCCTTCAATATCTGGGTGGCCATGATGCCAAAACTCTCAAGGGCCATCTTCTCCTAACATTAGTAACAACAATAGTTAACACTTCAATAGAACTTGCTATATGGCCATGCCAGATATATTTCTAATATGTAGTTTTAGATACATACAGGGATTATTTAAAAAGTTCTTGGAAGGTCTATATTATTTTAAAAAAAACTATTCATGGGTTCAAAACTTTTTTCATTAGAAGAAATTTAACTTTTTTGTTTAATGATAGAGACAGAAAGTCCTCCCATCCATTGGTTCACTTCCCCAAATGGGGTTCACTTCCCCACGTGGCGGGGGAGCTGAAGGCAGAAGCCAGGAACTCGATCTGGGCTTCCAGCTGAGCGGCAGGGACCCAACCCTTGAGCCCTTACCTGCTGTCTCCCAGGAAGCTGGAGTCGGAAGCTGGAGCTGGGTCTGGAACCCAAGAACTCTAATGTGGGACTTGGACGTCTTAGCCCCTAGGCCAAACATTTGCCCCATAAACTTAGCTTTTGATGCTATTTTCCATGAATGTCTTGAAGTAATTTTGTATGTCTCTTAATCATAGCTATCAATAAGCTAAAGCCACCACTGAGCAGGGGGCATAACAGTAAAATGAAGACATATAGAACGTAGTCCTCACAACCCTATAGAGATGAGAAAACCAAGACATGGAGACAGAGTTTAACCAGCTCCAGCCCACATAGCTAGAAAGTGACACACCGGGACACGACCCTCCCTGACTCCAGGGCCCACACTGACACCACCATCCCTCCTGTTTCCTTGTTGTTCTCTCCACTGGACCGGGGGCAAGGCCAGGGCCGAGGCTGCCCCAAGGTGATGTGCCCACATCAGTGGTGTAGGTGTCAGAGAAGGTGACAACGGCACTTTTGTCTACTGGACTTGATGGAAGGCAAAACACCAAAGCATGTGAGATCTTTGTAAGAATGTTGGAGACTGTTGTGACTAAGCAGCTGGAGAACTGGCTAAGGAGGGGAGCGTGCAGCTAAGAGGGAAACACAGGCATGATGGGAACGTAACGAACCCTCCAGAGGGCGCGTGCACAGTCTCCACAGGGCACCGTGTTTGCATTTTCCCACCAAAACTAGTTCAGAGGCAGAAGACATGATCCTGGTGACATTTCTTGCATTTTGCTATCTTTATAGTAGAATGCAAGAGAGAAATGTTAGGGAAAAAAAAAAAAAAACTGGAGGGACCAGTATTGTGGCATAGTGGACAAAGCCACTGCCTGCAACATTGGCAACCCATATTGGAGCGGGGGTTCAAGTCCTGGCTGCTCCACTTCTGATCCAGCTCCCTGCTAACGCTCCTGGGAAAGCAGCAGAAGACGGCCCAAGGGCTTGGGCCCCTGCCACACATGGGAAAGACCCAGATGGAGTTCCAGGCTCCTGGCTTTGGCCTGGCCCGGCCCTGGCTGTTGCAGCCATCTGACTGGCAGAAATGAGATCTCTCTATCTCTCTGTCTCTGTGTCTCTCTCTCCCTCTGTGTGTGTGTCTGACTTTCAAATAAATAAAATAAATTAAAAAAAAAGATATTGCAACATGCTGAAGACATGTAGTACTCAGAACTGTAGCTACACACTTGTGGTCCTCACAATTTCAACACCTGCTTGAGCTTCACTGACCATTTGCTCTGTCCTGAGCACATGTTCGTCCCAGCTGAACTGAGACAGCCGCGCTGGCCACCTGGAGTTTATCCCCTGGGGCGGAAGCACCCGCACACCTCCGGTGACCCCAGAGAACTTGAAAGGCAGTTATTTGGAGCTGCCACGTGCTGTGACTGTAAGATACAATCTGGAGCTCGAAACCTTCCTCGCGAAACAGCGCAGAGAGCCCCTGGGTCACAATGGCTCCCCAGGCACAGAGGTGACACGCATTCAGCAGAAAGCCTACTTTGAGTTTTGACTGTGGCTCTTTAAACACCCCCACTCCACGGTGTGCTGTGCGGCTGGGTTGGGCTGGCCGTGGATTAGGGATGGTGAACGTATTTTCCACATTTGACATTTTCAGTTTACAGCGGGTTCATTGGGATGCAATGCCACTGGAAGTCAAGAAGTGTCTTTGTAACATAGCTTATTGCCAATTATTTTATACCGATTACATATTGAAATGATAAAATTATGGAATATTGGGATTAATAAAATATACTATTATGATCAATGTCACTTCTCTCTGCCTATTAGTTTATTTGATTGAAAAGCAGAGAGAGAGAGAGAGACAGAGAGAGAGAGAGAGAGAGAGAGAGAAATACAGACAGGTAGACAAAGATTTTCTACCTGCAATGGCCAGAGCTGGGTCAGGCCAAAGCAGGAGCCAGGAACTCAATCCAGGTTGCCCACATGCCCTGCTAGGGTCCAAGTACGTTAGTCATCATCTGCTGCCTCCCAGGGGACACATCAGCAGAAAGCAGGACTGGAAGCGGAGTAGCCAGGACTCGAACCTGGCACTCTGAGACAGGATATGAGCGTCTTGACCTCTGTGCCGGGTGCCAGCCTCGTCTTCACACTTTTAATATGGTTCCTAGAAAGCTGTAAACTGCGTCTGTGGCTTGCATTCCCTTTCTATTGAGCGAACCAGACTGGAAGTCTGTAAGCTGACAAATACTTGTGTTAATAGAGTATTTTTAAGTGATGGGTGCTTTGAGGAGCCGTGAGAGAGGGCTAGCTCACGGAGAGAGATGGGGGGTGGGGCCCTGGCGTTGCTTCATGGAAGCTTTCAGCGCTGGTCTTTCTGAGGAAGGAATGCTCACGGTTCAAAAGCACAGATAAATCCCGATCTCTAGACAAATTGCTTAGAGCCTGTTCTTTCATTGTCTTATCGGCTGTAAGAGGTAATCGCAGGGAAACAGAGGGGATAAAATGGCTGAACTGTTGTGCCGCCCTCTGCGATAGCCTACACATAGAAAATCTTGGAAAGAGTGGACAAACGACCAGCGCGCAGTCCGGTGTAGGCACACGTAATAAAGAGCGTACAGACAGGTTTTTCCTTCCCGGTAGCTATCTACAGCCACATTACAATTTGTCTTTTTTTTTTTAACTTATGGTAAAACAAAACCTGTGTCTGATGTTAAAGGAGAGGAACAAACCACAGAGCTCCACACTGTCTCTCGGTCGGGCTCATTTCCAAACAACCGTGGTGCCTCCCCCACACCCTCCCGGAGTAAATGCACAGTCAGGGAAGTTCTGCTGGAAGTGGGCGGGGCGCCTGCGACAGCTCCCCTGTCCAGCGCGCTGCTGTTGCTGGAATCGGGTTGATTCGGGCAGCACTGCAGAGCCTAGCACACACACTGAAGCCCCGAGGACACCGCTCCGCCCTGGGGAAATGAAAGTAAACAGAAATCACAGCGGCTGGACTGTGCAGCTACAAAGAGCTGTTGAACTTTGATCAGGAAGGAGGAAGCCGAGTGCCAGGTGCACACACTCTGAGAGCGCCCGTCCCTAGCCGGATGCCATCACACACAGGTGCCACACGCGTTCTCTGCGTTTCAATTAAGCTGGACCACGGCTCAGCATTCTTTCGATATTATAGCCCTGGGATTTTGTACCTGACTCAGAGGCTATGTTTAGGGCATTCAGATCCAACAAAATTAATCCTTTCTCTTTCCAAGTTTCTCCAGGGAACCCCTGGTGTCCCACAGATCATAGTGTGCTGAGACCAGACAACCTGAACTGGGGAAATCAGGGCTGCCCTGCTGTATCTTCTTCTCAGACCTTGATTTTACACGAATCGGAGAGGTTAGATCTCTCCCCACTCTCTAAAGAAAAGCAAAAAAGAAAAAAGAGAAATCGTATTTCCTTTATTTTCCAAAATTATTTTCTGTTTTTCCTAGCGACTCTTAAAAATAGAAGCGGGGCAGTGGCTTCATGGTGCTCTCCTTTGACCGTGACTCATGTCCATGAGACGTAATTTAGGGAGACTTTCTGTAAGGAAACGGTCGGATTCCGATCACGCATATACTGTGCTCTTAAAATGAGGTGTGTCCGGAGTTCTCAGATATCCTTGAAGAGGCACCATTTGAATTGCTATTAGTTCGCTGTCACTGTACGTAAAAGCAGTTGGAGAGGGGTCACTGTGCTCTTACTTGCCACGCAGGACCTCTGTCCTCAAGGAGTTGTATTGTGAGAATTAACTATAAAACTTGTTCCCAGTTTTGTGTGTGTGCAAACTGTTGAAATCTTAGTATGCAGTTGGTCTTCCTGTGTATCAAGTTAATTGGAAATGAATCTTAATGGAGAATGGGACTGGGAGAGGGAGAAGGAGGTGGGGTGGGAGTGGGGGTGGGAGGGTGGGTATGGTGGGAAGAATATATTCCTAAAGTTGTACTTGTGAAATTTGTACTCATTAAATAAAAGGTTTCTTTGAGAAATAAAATAAAATAAAAGCAGTTGCAGTAACAAATGGTGTTCACTGCTCAGTGTGTCCCAGAACAGGGAAGGACCTGGGGAGTGACTTCCCCTCTCCGGTCCCGGCCATCCCACCTCCCTAACTCTTTCCCAGCCCCTGAGTCTGCAAAAGTCCGCAGACACTGCAGCCGCTGGCCAACCCAAACAACAATGGCAGGAAGGAAACCCCGAAGGGGCCAGAAAGAAGTGTCACTGGAAAGGAATTAAGTCCTTAGGACAAAACAGACTGGAAGACGCAAACTATGAGTGTGCCAAGCTAGACAGCGTTGAATCTGTTTCCTTGCTGCTCTGATTTCCAGCTGTAGAAGTGTGTGTAGAAGTCTCTAGTCCTGTGCAATAGAGAGCGTGGACCATAGCATTTACTTTTCCCAGAAATCTTTTATCTAAGGAGCACAAACTTCATGCATTTCATAAGTACAACTTTAGGAACAGTGATTCCTCCCTCCGTACCCCCCCACCCCCACTCCCACCCCTCTTCCTCCTCCCTCTCCTAGTCCCATTCTTATTTTTTACTAAGGTCTATTTTCAATTAACTTTATACACATCCGGTTAACTCTGTACTAAGAGTTCAACAAATAGTATGAAAAAATACACTGTTGGAGAGGACCATGTTAACTGTGAGGGGTACCTGGGGGTGGGTGGGGGTTGGGGGGTGGGCCTCCCCAGTGACAGCGGAGGACTTGCTGGGTTCATTCCTAGAGTATTCATATGCACTGACTCCGCCGGGCACGGAAGAAAATTCTCTCTGGCTTCCCCTCCCCGCTTCCTCTCTCCCTCCCGCTCCCTCTCCTTCCCCCTCTCTCTCTCCTCTTTCTTCCTGCACTATTCAAACGTGAATCTGGATGCATATTAGTGGGGACCCCTGCCTGTTTCCAGAAGAAGTCTAGGAGACACTTGACTGTTGAGAAATGGATGCACTCATCTCAGCAACTTTCAGAAGTGAAACAAGAGTATGAAAAACAACCCGCTGACAGCGATCGCGATAAACGGTGTCACCAGGCAAAGCCTGCTTCTACACTCGGGGAGAGGGAGCAAACACAGCGCTGGTTCCTGAAAACTCAAGGAGGAGTTTGCGCAATAATTCAGATCCAATCTGAGTCCGACCAGGTTGACTCCAGAAGGTGACGTGCCGAGGATTTCCTACAACTGGTTCAGATCAAAAGCTAAATGTTCTGTCCCTCGCGGAAGTAAACTCCACTGCACGGCTCTCTTAAGACACGGAGCGTGACGCCCCACAGGGGACTTGAGATTAGGTCATGTGTTTGTTTCTGGGATATGGTCCACCCTTCACTGCAACGGGGCTCCGCAGTTTGTTCAACCTCTTTCTGGCGATTTCTGATTTGTTCAGACAAAGACCAGAGACTTCAATCCCACCGAATTTACCGGTTGGGTTCTGACCAAGGCGGAACAGAGCCAGAAGGCTGAGGGCATACGCTCCGTGGCCGTGGGGACACAATGTCTGCCTTTATAAGGACGAGGATAGAATCACTTCTCCAACTCCCACCCACCACCTAGCACAATGAACCGGAAATGTTTTCCTTGCCTTTCCTTTTTTTTTTCCTGATGTAGGAATAGAAGAGATTGGTAATAAACAAGTGAGCAATTCCTTTACCTCTTAGAACATGCTTTAAAATAAAAAATAACCATTCTCCTTGTTATAACGCTGCTAGCTTTACATTAAACAGCAAGCCAGAAGGAAAAGAGAGAAGGAGGGAGCAAAGGGGGGCTAAAAAGGAGGGAAGGGAGGAGGGGGGAAGGGAGGAGGGAGTAAGGACGGAAGAAGTGCAGGCGAGGAGGAAAAGACAGGAGGAGGGGGAGGCAGAGCAGGAAGAAGGGGATCAGAAGTCTCCCCCCCAATAGCTTTCATATTTAACTAATTCAAGAGAACATTTAAATACCACCTCTAGTTTGCCTGTCATTTCAGTCTTATATACACTGTTCCTTGGTTGTCACATATCATTAATCTTCCTTAACAGGAGAGGAAGCCAGAGACTAAAGGGATTAGATGATTTTGGGATGATCACGCGCCCTGTGCGAGATTGAGCCCACACAGAACTTGGTACTTCACTTTGAGCGTGCAGCCCTCATCGCCCGTCAAGGGGTTTCTCTATTCTGGTTCTGCCGCAACAGCCACGCACAGCTCACGTTTTCACAGGTGTTTCCTCGTTTTTACGGGTTTGTGAGAAATTTAAGCACTGCTCTCAATGGTGTCCATTGCAGTAGTTCACGGTTCAGTAAAAGGATCCCAACTGCAGGTCCACGGCCTTCAGCGCTGCCCAGGAGCCACACTGAAGCGAGGGGCCCTGCTTGCTGGCCCAGCGTCTCTTCCCGCGGGAAACTACCCTTGCTGCTTAGAAGCAGTTGGCCATTCGGGGTGATCTGGCAACATCTGGAGACAGTTTCGGTTGTCACACGAAGCAGGAAGATGGGGAGGCCTCTGACATGCAGTGGGTAGAGACCAGGGGTTCTGCTAAACACCCCACAGTGCACCAGGTGGCCCCACAGCCAAGAATGATCCGGCCGAGAGTCTCAGTGCTGCCAAGCAGGAGAAAGTCTGCTCCAGCCTCGTTCGCCCAGGGGCCTGAGCCCACCACAAGGGCAGGTGCCGGGTCCCAGGTCTGGACACCTGGGGTCCCCCTCCTCCAGCACTTTTGCCATAGATATTGGGGAATGCATTCTCTACTCCTCTGAGATCAAAAACTTGAGGCCACCGGAAATGTGATGCTGGAAGCCTGAGGATGAAGATCAGGAAGAACAAGCAAGGGAAAGAAGAGGGAGAGAGATCCAAAGAGGTGGGTTGTCACTGAGAAGTTCTATATTTGATTGACTTGTAATAAATGTGTGTGCTCATGGGGCACGATGCAATGTTTCAGTTCACATCTGCAGACTGAATCAGGCTCTGCCTGTTGGGCTTCTGATCGGGATGAGCCTGTAAATTCCACTTCTGTAGGAGCTTTGCTTAACCTAGCATGAGTTGTGTTTCCATGATATTTCAGCATGAGTCTTGGCAGATGCTGGTGAATGAATATTATTATTACTGTAAGAAACCCTTAAATACATCCTAACAATTTTTAAAGCATATCTTTCATCAATGTCTATACTTGGCTACTATTAATAATAAATAGCAATGCAGCCCATTGATCAAGAGTAAAATCCCTTCCATATGTTTTTAAGCTAAGATAGACCCAGAATCGCCAATTCATTGTTATTTTAGCTAAGAGAGTAGAGACAGAGATAAGGTACTGAGGCTCCTAGATGGAATCAAAGACCCAGTACTTGGAAGAACTTGAGGAGTCATGAACACTGACCGGATCCCTGTTTCGGGGCTCAGAATCAAGGCAATCAATGAGAGGCCACTCTGTGTCCCACTGGAGACTTGGCTGGGGCTTTGAATCCTGTTGAGCCTTAGAAGCCCCTCTTCCAGGCCACACTGCAAGTTATCCCCACTAAGGGTGAGGCAGCATCTCCAACTCTATGGATCTGTGGGAGGGACCTCAGGCACAACAGCACAGACCCTCTGAATCAAGGAGGTGGGACTGGAGGAGGACACACTGAGGCATTTTGAATGCAGGTGGACAGGGTACCAAACAACGCTACGGAGAGAGCTTCAGAGGTCTGCTAAGGACCCCTTGGAGGCCTCAGCTGAGTACCCACCAGCACCTGCACTGGGAGAACCTTCCCAACGCTGAGCAAAGAACTGGAACCAGCCGTTTGTCCCAGTCATGGTGGGTCACGTTGTCTTGGATTATTATTGGAGCACACGCCGCCTGCCTGGATGAACTCACAATTTCAGGGGCATTAGGCTGAGCACTCCAAAGGCTCAACAGAGGAGAATAATGAGCCCTCGATTGGCCACTTCTCTGATCCTACCCAACACAGCTTAAAAGGAAGACCCTAAGGGCAGGCATTTGGTCTAGAACTTGCCCTATCAGAGTGCCTGGGTTCAAGTCCCAGTTCTGCACCTGATTCCTACTCACGTGTACCGTGGGAAGCAAGGGTGATGATTTACATGCTTGGGTCCCTGTCAGTCATGTGGCTGTGCTTCCCAGCTCCTCGCTTCAGGCTGGCCCCGTCCCAGACATTGTGAGCACTTGGGGAGTGAACCAGCAGTTAGAAGACCTCTTTCTCTCTCTCTCTCTTTCAAAATATTTTACAAAATAAAGACTCTAAAAGAATCAAACTTAGTCAGTTGTCCTAAACGCTTCCCAGACAGAACAGCTTAAGAATATTGATAGAAACCTAACAACCTGCATCCAGTGAGCTAAAACACACAGGGGCTTCAAAAAGTTCATGGAATAAGAAAAAGTTCATGGATGAGAGGGAAAAAAATCTGTGTATGGATTTCAATTTTTTTTGCACCAAACTAAACTTAGGTCTTCAATCCATTTTTCCATGAACATGTTGAAGTCCCCTTGCATGTGAGCATTTGTGAATCAGAACAGCAGACCTCAGAATTATGAGCAATTGTGAACCATTTATCCTTTAAGACACACATTTTGGGATAGTTTGTTTAAAAGCTAGAAAAAAAAAAAAAAAGCCTTGGCTGGCGCCGCGGCTCACTAGGCTAATCCTCCGCCTTGCGGCGCCGGCACCCTGGGTTCTAGTCCCAGTCAGGGCGCCGGATTCTGTCCTGGTTGCCCCTCTTCCAGGCCAGCTCTCTGCTGTGGCCCAGGAGTGCAGTGGAGGATGGCCCAAGTCCTTGGTCCCTGCACCCGCATGGAAGACCAGGAGAAGCACCTGGCTCCTGCCTTTGGATCAGTGCGATGTGCCGGCTGCGGCAGCCATTGGAGGGTGAACCAACGGCAAAAAGGAAGACCTTTCTCTCTCTCTCTCTCTCTCTCTCTCTATCCACTCTGCCTGTCAAAAAAAAAAAAAAAAAAAAAAAAAAAGAATTAATACAGCCCTCACCCTGACTGTTGATGAGCAACTTAATATGTTATCCCTCTAAGTATTTTTGTTTGTTTGTTCTACTTAATACTTTTGGTTGAATACTGTAATCAATACACAATTCTTCTTAAGTGCTGAAACTTAACTGAAAAGTGATCACAGTTAAATATAAGAGTGGGAATAAGAGAGGGAAGAGATGTGCAATTCGGGACATGCTTAAACTGACTTACCTCAAATGGTAGAGTTAGAAACATACCAGGGGATTCCAATTCAATCCCATGAAGGTGGCATGTACCAATGCCATCTCACTAGTCCCAGTGATCAATTTCTGTTCATAATTGATCATAATGATAGGACTAAGAACCAAAGGGATCACAGAAACAAGAATAGTGTCTGCAAATACTAGCTGATAGAATAAAAAAAGGGAGAGAATGAGCCAACATGGGAAGTGAGATACACAGCAGACCCATAGAATGGCAGATGTCCTAAACAGCACTCTGGCCTCAGAATCAGCCCTTAAGGCATACGGATCTGGCTGAAATGCCCATGAGAGTATTTCAGGCATGAAAAGCCAAGACACTCTGGGGAAAAAAAAACCTAAATGAAAGATCTCTGCGAGTGAGATCCCAGTGGAAAGAACAGGTCATCAAAGAAGGAGGTACCTTTCTCTGAAGGGAGGAGAGAACCTCCACTTTGACCATGGCCTTGTCTAAATATGATCAGAGTCGGTGAACTCAGAGGGCTTCCATAGCCTTGGCAGCTCATGACAAGAGCCTAGGGTGATTACTGAGGCCATAAACAAGAGTGTCAATTTGTTAAGTCAACAACAGGAGTCACTGTGCACTTACTCCTCATGTAGGATCTCTGTCCTTAGTGTGCTGTACATTGAGATTTAATGCTATAACTAGTATTCAAACAGTATTTTTCACTTTATGTTTCTGTGTGGGAGCAAACTGTTGAAATCTTTACTTAATGCATGCTAAACTGATCTTCTGTATATAAAGAGAATCAAAAATGAATCACGATGTGAATGGAAGGGGAGAGGGAGTGGGAAAGGGGAGGGTTGCGGGTGGGAGGGACGTTATTGGGGGGGAAGCCATTGTAATCCATAAGCTGTACTTTGGAAATTTATATTCATTAAATAAAAGTTTAAAAAAATTTTAAAATAAAGACCTTTCTCTCTGTCTCAGTCTCTCACTGTCCACTCTGCCTGTCAAAAATATAAAAAGAAAGAAAGAAAGAAAGAAAGAAAGAAAGAAAGAAAGAAAGAAAGAAAGAAAGAAAGAGCCCCTTCTCCTGCCTGGATTATTGCAGTAGCTTCCAAACTGGTTTTCCTGGCTCCATTCTCATAGGGGTCTTTCTAACCTAAGCCAAGTCTTGTACGTCTTGAGGCCCCACCTTCCTACGGCTCCCCACTTCCTTCACAGTACATGCACCTGCCATGCACCTGCCACACACGTAGCCTCATCTCTAGGCTCCCTGTCTCGGTCCTGTGGGCCTCTGTCCATTTTCCCAAATACAACCCCAGCTGTGGCCTCCAGCCTCCGCTCTTGCTCCAGGTCACTTTTACAAATGCTCTTCCCTGCCGGCGCCGCGGCTCACTAGGCTGATCCTCCACCTGCGGTGCCGGCACCGGTCGGGGCGCCGGATTCTGTCCTGGTTGCTCCTCTTCCAGTCCAGCTCTCTGCTGTGGCCCAGGAGGGCACTGGAGGATGGCCCAGGTCCTTGGGGCCCTGCACCTGCATGGGAGACCGGGGGAAGCACCTGGCTCCTGGCTTCGGATCGGCGCAGCGCCGGCCGAAGCGGTCACTTAGGGGGTGAACCAACAGAAAAAGGAAGATCTTTCTCTCTGTCTCTCTCTCTCACTGTCTAACTCTGCCTGTCCAAAAAATAATGCTCTTCCCTGTTCTGTCTCATATCAGAGTGCCCACTCCCCTTCGAGGACTTCCCCTTTCCCTCACCCAGCTTCATTGCTCTAGGTAGCACTCATGGCACGCAATGTCCTTCACTCACTCATTTGTCTGCCTGTCCCTGAGCCAGGGTGATATTGATTTTGATTCCTGCTATGTTTATAACCCACTACAGTCTGTGGTAGGCAATCAATGAAAGGGTCTTCTGCATGGAATGAATGAAGAATGAAGATGAACTGAATGTATGATTAACTGCCAAACGCAGAACAGGAGAATTCCAAGTGTACATTTTCCCTCATGGATATGTGTACTGAGAGAAGTTAGAGGCTTCCATTATGGCAAATGTTCTGTAGGAAATGCTTGGGGCAGGTATTTGGTGTAAGACTCTGCTTGGGACGCCAGCATTTGGTATCAGAGTGCTGGGTTCAAGTCTCAGCTTCACGGTTGGCTCTGCCTTCCTGCTAATGTGCACCCTGGGAGGAAGCAGGTGATGGCTTAGGTTGGTCCCTGCCACGCGTGTGAGAGACTCAACTTCAGTTCCTGGTTCCTGGCTTTGGCCTGACCCAGCCCTAACTGTCACAAGCGTTTGGGAAGTGAACCAGTGAATGAGAGCTCTCTCTCTCTCTCACTCTCTCACTCACTCTCTCTCTCTGACTTTCAAATAAATAAAATTTAGAAACTATCAACTTCATCTTATCAGTGCTTGTAAATAACTTAATTTCTGGCTAGAATTTTGTCTCCTTCTTCCAGCCCTCCTTATCTGCCCCGGGCTCCTTTTACCAGCAACTGATAAACTTGCTAGAGGCAGGATTCCATTGTTAAGGCTGAATCTGAAAAGGTGGAGAGTGTGCAGGGAGGAGAGCAAAGCACCCACCTAGACCAGGAAACAAAAGGACCCGTGTGGACTCTGGGAGGAGCTCCTCGGGGTTAGGACATCCCGGGTCTTGATTCAGTGGCTTACTCAGGCGTGTTCAAAGCAGGAACACCCACTGGGCTGCACATCTATGATATGGACGCATCTCTGGATGAATGTGTTGCATAATTAAAAGTTCAGCTAATGCAGAAATATTTAAATGAATAGTCTCTTGTTGATTTAAAAAGAACACAGACCTGCTGCATGTTGTCAGGGGACGATGAGGCTGGAGCAGTCGGCTGCCACCCAGCCCTCTGATCTCTGCCAGGGAGCGTCTGTCGTTCAGTATTGCGCCGGGGACGGGAGACCTCCCGGCAGGAAGTAGAAGCAGTTTGCTCTCAACGTGCTCCCCTTTGAGTGAGGGCAAGGACAGCAACAGACTCAAACGAGCCACCAATGACAAGGAAAATAACAAAAAATTTAAAATGTGGATTTCACATTGTCCTAAACATGATTTCATTTATTAAATAAATGTGTTTAAATGCCAAACTGAACCATAATAAAGAGTGAACAATTGAAAGCAACCTAAATATTTTACAATGGAGGAAAAATAATGTTACAGTTCTGCCATTTGAAAGGCAGAGTTACAGAGAGAGAGGTCTTTCATCCACTGGCTCACTCCCCAGATGGCCACAATGGCCTGTCCAAAGCCAGGAGCCAGGAGATTCTTCTGGGTCTCCCATGTGGGTGCAGGGACCCAAGGACTTGGGCCATCTTCTGCTGCTTCCCCGGGCCATAGCAGGGAGCTGGATCAGAAGTGGAGCAGCCAGGAATCAAACTGGTGCCCATCACATTGTTCCTGTTTCCCTAGATCTTTGCTGGTGTGAACGCCAGCACCTGCAGTGCTGAGAGTAATAGTAACGCAGGGCATTTGCGCCATTCTTGGGAGAACACCGCGCTCCCAGTTCAGGCCTTTCCTCTCCCACCCCGGGTCTTCTCGTAATTGAAGACACACACACCCATGCATGGGTGCTGTAGTAAGTGAATGCTACACAGGTCTGTTCACCCCCTCAGCAAGTGCACACGGAGCACATCATGCCAAACACTTAGGCCAGACACTGGGGGTCTGGTTTCGTCTACAAAAGTGCTCACAGATCGGCGGTAGACCAACAGGTGAAAACCAGTGAATGCTATGAAGTGTGACTGGGGTGACTACAGGGCACGGGGACCTGAGCTGGCACCCAGAAAAGGGCCTGGGGAGGCTTCCCAGAGGAAGTGAAACTGGAGTCCCAAACGCATCTACTGCGGTTCAACCAGGGAAGCGGGTTAAGCTAGTTAGGGTTTGATAGGGGAAGTGAGCGTGGCTATCCAAAGACCTAACTAGCAGGAAAGCAATGGAGAGAGAAGGCAGCCAGAAGACAGAACGTTCTAGAACATGTGGAGCTCATATTTCAGTTAAGGAGCAGGAGAATAAGGGCAGAGAGACCTCCCCAAAGGCTATAATTCTAGGCATGAGTCCCGGCTGCTCCACTTCTGATCCAGCTCCCTGCTGATGGCCTGGGAAAGCAATAGAAGATGGCCCAAGTGCTTGGGCCCCTGCACCCACGTGGGAGATCCAGAGAAAGCTCCTGGCTCCTGGCTTCAGATCAGCTCAGCTCTGGCTGTTGCAGCCATTTGGGGAGTGAACCAGTGGATGGAAAACTTGTCTCTCTGTCTCTCCCTCTCTTTCTCTGTAACTCCCTCTCTTTCTCTGCCTCTCAAGTAAATAAATACATCTTAAAAAAGAAAAGAAAAAAATTAACACTGGAACATTTAAAATACAGTATACAAGTACACATTCCAGTAGGTATCAGAGTAATGATGTCATCACACACACACACACACACACACGCAGGGATAGGGTACGTATCAATATAAACATGTGTCAACATACATGTCAAAATGCTACCAGTAATGGATGCAGTGGACAGTAGAAGAACTGAGTTCTACGGCACCATAGAGGGGACTATGGTGGACATGTTTACTTGTGGATTTCAACACAGTTCATGGAGAAGATTTGAATGTTCCCAATACAAAGAAATGATAAATATCTGATGGAAATGCCGACTACCCTGATCTGATTATTACATACTGTCTACACGTACTGAAATACCACGTGGGGCTGGGGCTGGGGGGTAGGTGAAGTCTCCACCTGCAGCGCCGGCCTCCCATATGCGCACCGGCCTGAGTCCCGGCTGCTCAC